TTATTATTATTATTATTATTATTATTATTATTATTATTATTATTATTTATTAGTGTTCATATTCTTCCTTTATCTTGGTCACATGGAAGTAACTTTGATACTAATGTCTGGTAATAGAAAGTGTCTACCATAAATCTCTTGGAAATATCTTCTCTATGGTTGGGGTTCAGTTGTGCACTTTGTTACATTTTCTTAAAGCCTGCTACTGCAACTGAGTGGCATGTCTTGACAAATAAGCAACTAACACAAAGTGGACTACATCCCTCTTGCTTTCCTAGAGCTACAATGACAAGATTAGAATCCTGTTTCCTCAGCTCCTCTTTCAGTTCAGCTGCCCTTCATAAACAAGAATGTTTACCAAGAGAAGGGGTGCAAATTCAAGTCCACGCAGATTTATATTCAGGTCAATAGCATATGGCTGAACTGTACCTGTGAAATTATAATACTTTTCACATCAGTGTTGCTACCTGCAGTGTCAATTGTTGTGCATGTAATTGTAGTTACCAAAATGGTTTAAGTGGAAACATCGTATCCTCAGCTTCTTAATGGAGATTTCAATGCATTAAAGAAGTTATTCCTTGTGAAGAGGAACTATACACCTAATCGTTATAACTGTCATAACATTATTTGAATTATACGCTGATTTTGTATATGGCTGCCCACTTTTTAAAAATAAATTTATTTTTGCTTTTATTTAACCTATTTTCATTAGGTTATGTTTGCACCTGCACCACACAGTTTTCTGGAGATCACTGTGAAGTGGCTGATGGCTTTTGTGAAGGAAATCCTTGCTTACATGGAGGGACATGTGAACTTTCTGAGAAAGGCGGCTATATTTGCCGTTGCCCAGAGAGATATTGGGGGGAAAGGTAAGAATATTCTCTCAATGCTGCCTTTGTCCTTCTAAACTTCAGCAAGGACATCATGCCTATATTATCCTGCATTGCACATATTCATCACACGATGAATATCACAGTGCAATTGTCATGTCTGTTTAGGAATGTATGAATAACCAACTTTAGGACATTTTTTAAAGATTTTGCTCACCTTATCTCAAATATTATAGAATTTTTGGCAATTATGATTGGGATCCAATTGCTTATCTTTTTAATCTTTCAACAGAAAGATTGATTGAATGCATGAATGAACTGCTATGTAGACAAATTAACTGTTGTGATTGTATCAATAAGCAAGATTAGAGATACAATATCGATGAATACTTAGAATTAATTGCTTTGTTGAATGAGCTTCTGTTGTGAACATCTAGGGCATGACTTTCATTGTTTTGTGATTGTCTGATTTCATGTCTCTTACATGGCATGCAAATTTTAACTTGAGATTTTAGGATTCTGTTTATATAGATGAATGTTTTATAAGAAATGCTCCTCTAAATATACTATATTTTATGTTTGTCTTCTCTGCTCAAAGTTCACACTAATATATCAGGATCTTATGGATGAGTTAGGTGAGGTCCGGCTGTTTTGAACAAATCAGCAATCATATTTTAATATCTGCATGGCCCCAAAGCTCTGAAGATCGTGTAGTTATATTTTCTAAACTTTCCACTTAAATTCAGATTCACTGACACAGCAGTCCTATGTGTTGAGATCCACAGATCTCTGTCAGTTGAGCAGATATGATCATGATTGGCATTTCAATTTTCTCCCACTTCCCAACCCATGATTCAGACCCAGGAATCATCCTTGTGGGTTTTCTCAGGAGGATTCAGATTTCTAACATTAGGATATTGTTCTTCTGAGACCAGAACTGTCACTCTATTTCAGAGGAGGAAATTTGGAAAAACTCTATGGACCTGGGGTAACTTGATAGGGATTGAAAAATTATATATATATCTCAAGGGCAGAGTTGATTTTTGCTTCCTAATTCTTTCCTCAACCTCATTCATATATTGTAAAGGAATGAACTGGACAAATGAACCAAATTCACAAATGTGCAGAAAACTGCAATATATTTATGTCTCCTTCCTTTCTCTAAAAGTCCTGCTTTTAGTTTCATAACTAGAGTTATTGGTATTTGCTTGCTGATATCCCTTTATAATCTGTCTTCCATCACAGGTGTGAAAAAGTTGCTGAGAAATGTTTGCAAAATCCTTGCAAGAACTCAGGACGTTGTGTGAATAGTGAGGGTTTTCTTCACTGCATCTGTACAGATCACTTCCAGGGACCATTCTGCAGCCAAACAATTGGGATTACAACTATTAATCCCTCCAGTGAGATTTGGAAGCCTGAAGTGATTGCCAAAATCTCTGCTGGGGTGTTAGGTATAGTCATCCTGGTGATAGCTATTATAACCATCTACAAACGCTACTGCCACAAAGTCAAAGCTCACAAGCCAGTGGCCAAAGAAGATCCAGACCTGCTCTCCAAGAGTGAATTCTCAAAAAGTGTTGGGGTTGGCACTCAAGGTCTTCCACCGATTGAACTCAATATTCTCAATAATAGTCATCACAACCATTTCAGTGCTCTAGATCCAGCCAAGCCTTCTGTTGTGCCAGAATTCACTACCTTCCATTCAAGCAATGTGCAGAAACAACGGGGTGCCATTGTGTGCAGTGTGGCTCCCAATCTCCCAGCTGCTGCCCCATTATCTAACACTGAAAATGACTCTACATTGAAGAGTTCCTGGACTGGAGAAAAAATGGGTTTGTTTTATCTTTGTTTCTCTTTCCCCCTTTCTTCTGTTTCATTGGGTCTTTCCAAGTAATGTTCTTTCTATGCTCTAAAACCACACTGGTTATTCCTATGTTTTGGGTCTCCAGCTCTCCTTTTTCATAACGGTATTGTGTTATGGTGGTATCAGTTTTGTCACATTTAAAACATAAATATATTTTTTTTTATTTCCTTTTCTAGTTAATGTATTATTGCTCTACATATTGAATGTAGTTACGCAAATACTAGCTAGTTAGCAAAATATGTCATATCAGTCATCAAGAGCAATATGACATAGTGAATCAAGTAAGTTCTAAGTAAATAAATGTAGCCAGGATTTGAAAATTTTCAACTATTTTTAAAGGAGCTAAACATAAACAGTTATGACTGTTATCTTCCAGTAGCAGTATTCTTCAATATCAAAGTTATAATAATGGGCATACACCTCATATTAAAGAAAGTTCATGTTAAAGAAAGACCTGATTAGTACAATCAATCACAACAGAAAGAGAAATTTCATAAACCATTTCTATATGAACTTGGGCAGAGCAGAAAGTAATAAGTATCAAAAAAATTAGAAACAAGAATCATATTCAGAGGAAAAAAATCTATATTTAGAATAAAAGAACATTCAAATATATAAGAGATGCATTAAATTTGTACTGAATTACAACTTTTAAGATGAGGAAAAAGGAAAAACATAAATATATGGGATATTATCATATTAAGTGTCAATTAAAATGGTGGTGCACAAAATGATACAATTTACTGAAATTGAAATGAGATACTGAAATCCTCTCATACAAACTCTTAATTGCAACCACTGGTCATAGCAACCTTAAATCCCCCACAGCAAATGACAGTAATAACTGGACACAGTAGAAATAAACAGCTACTCAAGACATAAATTAGAGAAAATAACATTACTTTTAACAGGACATGTATTGCAAAGGTATATTTATCTTAAAATTACCCTAAAACCTTGGAAAGGATCCAATAGTCAAAAGAACTAAATCCAGTTCAAACTATCTGGTAGACTATGCATAAATAACAAAATCACCACCAATATATATGCAGCTGTGATCAGTCTCCTTTTTGTTTGGCAACAGATGCCTTCTTTTGAATACTACATTCCCACATTACTCCACGCAAGCCTACACAAACAGCAACAAGAATATGACTGGACCCTGGTTTTCTACTGGGTAGTTTAGAAAACTTTTAAAGAAAAGAAACAGCAATCCAGATGCTGGGTTTAGAACAATCAGAACACTGAAAATGAAGCGGTTATGTTTTGTTCTGAGTATGCATGTGTTGTTTCCCCCTCAAAATAAAGGTCTTGAAACATATACATTTTGTTTTGAGATCACAAATCGCAAAGCTGCTGTTCTGATGTCAGAATGTTTCTGGAACCATCTCTAGTTCAATATGTTTTGTGTATTCGCAGAAATAGTAGAATTGCAGGATACAATGAGCATGAGTAGTTGTTGGAAACAGCATTTGTACAGTAAATAAGTAAATAACTGTAAGTGCTGACAAAACCTGATAGGTTTGAGAATTGGTCAAGAACATGTAATTCACTTCTGAAAATATCTATCAATATATTTTGTTTATCCTGTCTCTAATTCTGTCACTAAGATTGATTCATGCAGTGAAAAATCTTTGTCAAGAATTCCCTCAAACCAGGTACTGTATTGTTCGAAAATTAGAACTAGAGTAGTACGTTAGGCCTTAAAAATTGTTTTAGCTCCTGGTCAGGTGTTCTCTGCAAGTAGATAATTTTTATCCATGCTTGGCAGACTTTACAAGTTTACATATTTCAGATTCTTAATTATATAATATTTAAGAAAACAAGTTTCCCCATGGCAGATCTTCAGGCTCCAAATTATGAAAAAAAAGTATGTGGTAATATGCAGTGAAATAATAGTAGCTATTGCAGACTACACATTTATTGAGAGATACTCATAAGCTTCTGGTTTTATTTCAGTGTATCCAGGAGAAACAACCTACTGGCCACCAAGATATCAGTCAACAGACACTCAAGAATATCATCAATATGAAGTTATTGAAACTCTCCTTCCACCTTCCCCGTGCCATCGACCTCTTCCTCCTCCTGTAGACTCAGATCCAGCTGGCCTTTATGGTGGCTTTCCTTTCCCACTTGATCAAAACAACAAGCGGGCTCCTATTCCGCCTCGTTACAGCAATCAAAATCTGGAAGACTTCTTACCCCCTGGTTCTGCTGAGCTACCTTCTTCCCAGTGTCAGAACGAATACACTGCGATCAGCTACTACCCTTCTCAGTTGGTGGAAAATGAAGGGCCACTTTACCATCCAGACAATGGGTACAAGAGGGTTAGCATGAGACTTAGTGTGGCCCAGCCCTCCTACGCAGACTGTGAAATCAGGCCTGTACCGAATGTGAGAACTCAGCCAGCATTGCCTTCTAACTATGAGGGCTCTGACATGGTGGAGAGTGACTATGGAAGCTGTGAAGAAGTGATGTTTTAAAACAAAACAAGTGCATCTGCATTCTCAATGTGCCTGAAGGAGAAGGCATTTAATTCAAGTATACTTTACTGAAATGTGCAACCTTTCCATTTTAACAGCAGCATTTTCCCTCCTGGGTAACTATGCTAAAAGATAGCATTGATGGTTCTGCCCACGGTCCAGCCCCATTTTTCTGACTTGGATAGGACTTCAAAGGGATCATGTCGCTGTTTTATAAAGTTGGATTGTATCTGGACAGAAAGATGGAATTGCAAACCAGGACATATGAAAGCGCTTTCAATGAGTGCTGGTAGAAATCATTTTCCTCAGTCATAGTGATTCCTTGAAAAGCAAGTGGCAAACTACATCAATTCTGTTTTGTTCATGTATCTCATTCTGAAAATGGTTACATTTATTGTAATGATGCAACGGTTGGTTGTGCATTGTAAAGGTAGCAAAATTGATAACGTGGATTCTTGCTGTAAACATCAGAGAGATTGGAACTAAAGCATTATTGAGTAGTAGTCAGAATTTTTTAATAGTGTTTTTATTCCTAAAAACCAAGATTTTCATTGGTTAAAAAACTCCCAGAATAGAATTGAGATTTTAAAGACAAGCTATCCTGCAGTTGTGTCACTGGTAATTGACAGGGGGAAGCATCTGACTGAAATAACACAAAAGTTTATAAAAGGAGTGTGTTGCATTGGCTTTTATCTAGGAATTTGTTATTTCTATTAAGAAATAATATACAAGGGTTCCATACAAATCCAGAAAGGGCACTAATGGATGGTGTTTGATGGACCCTATCTTTTTTCTGGTACTCATTATGAATTATTTCCCAGAAATTGTTATCAAGAAACTATATTCCTATTTAGGAAATAATGAGAAATTAAAAAGGGCTGACTTCATCTACATCTGTTTGAATATATTCCACAAACCACTGCCTTGAACTATTCATGTTATGGATATAGTATATATGCATATATTGTGCAAAGTTGTGTATGAGAAAGAATGTGTGATAGAGTCCATTTTTGGGTGTACATAAAATAATTACCAGACAAAAAGAGGAATTATTTAATACAAGGCTGGGCCATACTTTAAATGCACTATATATCTTTAGTTAAATTTCTCTGTGAGAGTTTATTGTGAATATTTGTTTATAAAAAGCAATAAAGAATTTTAAAATGTTATACGTGTAGTAGAAGTATGGGTGGTATTGGAGGTAATCAATAGTCTTCATAGCTCATTGTTTAATTAGGGGGAATAGATTGTGGAATTTTTATTTTTATTTAAAAGTCTCATCTCATTATGCCTTGAATCATAAACTCATAGGGCTGGAAGGTACCTTAAAGATCTTCTTATTCAACCCCTTGTCCAAGGGAGGAGTCCTGATCCAGCTCTAAGAGCTTTCCAGACATAACAATTGATGCTATCCTATATCCATCTCAGGAGATGGATGCGCCTAATTCATATCCTAAATAGATTATGATGAAGATGAACTTAGGTAACTGATTTTAAACAACAAGACCATGACAAGTACAGGGCAAGAAAGGCATTATTCATTTGTGTGTTGATAACAAGTTATAGCTACAAAAGCTCTCCAACCTCTTGACTTCTAGAAAATGATTTCAGAATTATATAAACTTGTATAGTTTATATAATTTATATAAACTTTATAATATATAAGTATGAACATAAACAAGAACAAGGGAGTAAATACAGATAAATGGGGACAGTAAGACGGATGGTAGGCACGCTGGTGTGCTTATGCACACCCCCTTTAAGGACCTCTTAGGAATGGGATGAGGTAGAATAGAATTTTTTATTGGCCAAGTGTGATTGGACACACAAGGAATTTGTCTTGGTGCAAATTATATAAACATTATATAAATAATTATATAATTCTTGCACAAAAGTGCTTTAACCCAAGATTTTCTTGCTTCAACTACAGAAAAGAAAAATGCAAACTGCATTTCAGATATTGATATATTCTGCATTGGAGTAATCTCTTTAGTGTGTTGAATACTATCCACTTCAATGACTAAAGCTGATCTCGTGTAATGCTAGCTAGAACATTAAGCTTAGTAATATTATGGCCACCTTCAAGAATGAATTGTTCTTACAAGAATGGTAGCCATTATGGTGCAAAATTAAGAGGCTTTATCTACAGACCCCTATGTTACCATTTAAAAAAACCTAAATTTTATTGCCATCTGGTGGCCAATAGTATAAAGATAGCAGTTGATCTGCATCACTGGCCACCTATTATATTATTGAATGGCATTATTAATCTAGCTTGCAAGAGGTCTGAGATCAAAATGGCTCCAAACACCAGGTGTATTACCATCACCAGCACCACTTTAGTTGCTTTAGTTAGATTTTCCTCCGTAGTCTTAATTTCTTTCCATGGATGGAAAAAATAATAATAACCGCCTCACTTAAGAGGCAATAAAACCAAAGAAGAAGCTGCTTTCTCAGCTTCACTCCAGAACTTCACAGGGACAAGGAAACCAAAAGGTCCATTGGGCCAGAACCGGGGAAAGGAGATGAGTCTGAAATCAGAAAAAAACAGGAACTTTCCCTAAGAAAAAGTGGAGTGAAAATGTTGTGGCCTGCCGGCATCTGACAGAACTGGCAGCAGAGTTGGACAGTAGTGAGGAGGCTGGGGAGGAACCTGGGCCAGTCTTGGAGGCTGAGGAAGGCTCGGATGAGGGCTCTGCATCAGAGGCAGACATGGGGCTAGGGCAGGTTGGCAGTTATCAGCTGCCTTCAGACTCAGACAGCACTGAGGCAGGGGGGTTTCTGGAACCAGTTCCCAGCCTGCGCATGCGCAGGACTACCAGAAGACAAGAACAGTTGAGCAAGCAGGGTCGACTCGAGAGTAAGGCCACACCTCAGAGATGATCGGATCCTCCCATAGGACATAAAAGAGGAGCAAACGGGATGTGAGCTTTTGAAAGAAGCAATTAGTTCATCTGGTCGATTCAAGTTTTGAAAAGTTCTATTTGACTCTGTGTCAAGTTTGGCCTTTCCCTGCATTTGGCAATTAGTTCTCTGGCAGCATTCCAAGTGCAATAAGTTGGGTGTTTATAAACATTCCCCTGAAAGACTGTTTGTGAAGCCTTGCAGGCTGTGAATGAACGTAATTCACAGCTGTGGAAATAAAAGAGGTTTTGCCGGAACTAAAATGGTGTTTTATGCTTTCTTAGGAAGCTTAGGTCAGAACAGAAAAAGTGCAAAAGTAAACCACGCCTTGGCTTTACCCCCAATCTTGATTCTTCTGTTTTCCCACCTTCCTACAATGTTGTGGGGGCAAAAGCAGTGATCTGACCGCTGCAAGAGTGCGTGGCCAGCACCATGAGAAGGGTGAAAGGGTGGAATGGACAGGTGATTCCACAGGACTAGCTCCATTGCGCACGACTGCCAGAAGGCAACTGGGTCAAACCCAAGTGGGCATCGGCCTGCACCAACTACACCAATATGGGCAGGGAGGGGGTCACTTGGGAAAGAATTGCAGAATCACAGAATGGGAAGGGACCTTGGAGGCATTCTAGTCCAACTCCTGCCCAGGCATCTACCATCTACCATTCCAGACAAATGGTTGTCCAGTCTCTTCTTAAAAGCATCTAGTGATGGGAGTACCCACACCTTCTGAAAGCAAACCGTTCCACTGTTAATTGTTCTAACTAACAGGAAATTTCTCCTTAATTCTAGAAACGTAGATTAGTTTGAAGATCTAGAATAGGACTACTCTCCCCAGGGAAATCCTCTAGCTGAGAATGACCAGATGCCATAGCACGATTCTGAAAGGTTCAGCACTTGGAAAAGGCAAATGATTGATATAGTTTTGACCTCTTTCCTTGCTTTGCCTCTTTTTGACTTGGCAAGTTGGAGCCAAGTTGTTCTTGGCTTCCTCTGAAATTACTTTAAAAAAGCAAAAGATTTGAGAAGAAGCCCAGGCCAAGTTCCTCTGTCAAGCTTCTGCAAAGAGTCAAGCAAGCTTTCTCCTCTTTTAAAAGGGGCTGTATTAAGAATGAGTTCCTCAGTTCCTCGCTTCCCGGGCCACAGAATTGCCAAGGTGCCTGCAGAACCCAAGGGAATGGAAGAGGAAGAGTTGCAGAAGAACCGGTCTGCTGGATTGGGCAGGGAAAGGGGCCTGTGTGGTAACTTTCCTTGCCTTTGTCTTGGAGATCACCATTGCTAGTCATCCTGGGGAACTTCTTGGTGATTCAGTTAGTCTGCAATAACAAAAGTGGGGAAAGCAGATAATGGAAAAACTGGCCACATCCCTTGATTTCCAAGGCTGCCCAATAGACTGGAACCCCTGCCTGAGTGGACCCTAGACGGTTTCTTCTCACTTCCACTCACTGCTACAATCTGAGGAAATGAGTTTCCCACTGGTTTCAGATCACAACTGCCATAATGCCCTGATGGCACAGGGGTTAAAAGTTGCAGTTTGAAAAACACCATGTGCAAGGGTTACAAATGTTCATGGTATACTTTGCAGAAGCACAAAACTTGAGATTGAATGAATTAAGATCGATCGTTCTGTTGCATGTACGGAAGATATTGCTGACTGGGCAGGACCCATTATGGTCCATCTTCCTTGCTCTGGGAACGGAGATGCCCGATGGATCAGCTCCTGCCCTTTGAAGAAAGCCCCATTTAGATATTCCACAACAGGAAACAGAGGGAGGACTGTACTGTACTGTAGGTTCTCCTACTTGTATTTTGCTTATGGGCATTTCTGTAAGAATGTAATCATTGCAAAATCATTATAGAATAATTGCTCTGGGTGAACGTTTTAATCCTTTCTCTGGGATCAGTATGAATCTCTTCTGCTATAAGCAGCTGTACTTGTTAGCAAAATTGGAACCAATAGAACGCTTCTAGTCAATAGTGCATGGCCTGCTTTTTTCATTGTTTTTCCTGGTATCTTAAAGAATGAACAGAATGAACTAGATGTATTCTAACATTAGAACATTAGAACATTAGAATTGCACCTTTCCATGATCCTGTTTCTCACAGCTCATAATCATCTTTTTCTGTTGCTGTTCCCCCAAAGATTGATACTTGGATTCCAAAGATAATATAAAGCTGACATGAGTAGCAGCCATTGACAGCTTCATCCCCCCGCCCTTAAGAAAACAGAATAACACCTATACTGGTTCAGAAAAGTGGCTGTTGTGATTCTTTTTAAAAGCCTTCAGTGATGGGAGCGCCTACAACTTCTGCAGGCAAGTCGTTCCACTGATTAATTGTTATGACAGGAAATTTTTCCTTAATGCTAGGTTGCTTCTCTCCTTCATTAGTTTTCATCCATTGCTTCTTGCCTTGCCTTTTGATACTTTGAAAAATAGGTTGAGCAAAACAAGGAAAGAATAAACCTTGTTGAAGAAGCAGATCATTGATGTAATTTTTCCCATTGCCCCAAAGAGTCAAATCTAGGTATTCATAAACAAGGATATTTAGTTATGTATTTGTTTGTGTGTTTGTTTTTCCTGCCTTTATTGTTATTTCTTTTTATGAATAACATACCTAATACACTTTCTTCCTCCAAATTTCCCCACAGCAACAACCCTTTGTGGTGGGTTGGCCTGAGAGAATGACTGGCCCAAAGTCACCCAGCCGGCTTTCATGCCTAAGGCAGGACTTGAACTCACATTCTTCTGATTTCTAGCCTGCTGCTTTCATCACTAGACCAAAT